CGGGTTTCACCGTGTTCGCCAGGGATTGTTGTGATCGCTCCTGACCTCGTGATCCACCCGCTCGGTTTTGTGGTTGGTTGTGACCTCCCAAGGTGTGGGGTGCTGGGGCTTGACAGCATGAGCCCGCTGTGCCAGGCGTATTAGCCTAATGTTCTAATGCATCTTCAGACGAGTTGCGCTCTCGCAGGCGTGCGATGTGCCCCGCAGATAAATGGTGGTGGTGTGGTGGTTGTGTATGATGGGGGGGGTGTTTTTTCTTTTTTTTTTTTTTTTGAGGACGGAGTCTTCGCTCTGTCGCGCATAGTGCTGGAGTGCGGTGCTGTGGGTGGTTGTGGGTGAGTCCTGGCTCACTGCAAGCTCCGCACTCCTGGGTTCACGCCATCTCTCTGCTCCTCACCACGCCCGGCTACTTTTTGCATTTTTAGTAGAGACAGGGTTTTGCCATGTTGGCCAGGCTGATCTTGAACTCCTGACCTCAAGTGATCCGCCCGCCTTGGCCTCCCAGTGCTGGGATTACAGGCATAAGCCACTGTGCCTGGCGCATACACTGGAATTTTAAGGTCTACATGTAAAAAAAAAAGAAAACAAAAAGAAATGTAAAATGCTTATACATATGGAAAGTATACATGGCAATACGTTAACAATTTTTTTTAAGTTTGATGGGCACACTGGTGTTTAATGTACTATTCTTTACACTTTTCTGTTTCAAAGTGGGTTTTCTTTTTTTTTGAGACGGAGTCTTGCTCTGTTGCCCAGGCTTGAGTGCAGTGATGCAATCTTGGCTCACTGCAACCTCTGCCTCTCGGGTTCAAGGGATTCTCCTGCCTCAGCCTCCCGAGTAGCTGGGATTACAGGCGTGCACCACCACGCATGGCTAAACTTTTACATTTTTAGTAGAGACAGGGTTTCGTCATGTTGGCCAGGCTGGTCTTGAACTCCTGGCCTCAAGTGATCTGCCTGCCTTGGCCTCCCAAAGTGTTGGGATTACAGGCGTGAGCAACCATGCACAGCCCTCAAAGTTTTTTTTGAATGTAAACAGTTTTATTGAGAAACAGGTACCTGTTTGCATTGTAGAATATAAAACTTGGCTTATGCTCTATAAACAATAACCATTACCCCAATTCACAGAACACACAATTAGATTCAAAGTTTTCACATAAATTGGACAAAAAAAAAATCCTTGCCACAAGCCATCTGTGGATGAAGGCAAAAAGCCTACTGACCCTGTGGTAGAACAGGCCTTGCTTCCTCCAAGGCACCTTCTTGGTGAGGAGGGCGTGGTGGGAGAAACTCCTGGTTAGTAGGCAGATTGCCAGTCTCTTCCCCAACTAGACCTCAGTTATCCTTTCGAAAAGTGAAAGTGGAAGTTGGATTAGATTCAGATAGAACCAAAAAGTTCCTTGTAAGATTATAGGTGTTTATTCTAGTTACCTATTGCTCTATAACAAATTACTCCAAATCAGTGGCTTACAACTGCCATTTTAAGGCCAGGTGTAGTGACTCATGCCTGTAATCCCAGCACTTTGGGAGGCCAAAGTGGGAGGATCACTTGAGGTTAGGAGTTTAAGACCAGCCTCGGCAATATTTATTTCCATAGGTATTGATTTATTTTAGGGGTAAAGTACTATGATGTCTGCAATTTCATCTCAAATAAAAATAAATAAATAGAGATGGACCGGGTCTTGCTATGTTGCCCAGGCTGGTCTCAAACTTCTGGGCTCACACAATCGTCCCACCTTGGTCTCCCAAAGTGCTGGGATTACAGGCATGAGCCACTATGCCCAGCTCCCCCCACCAAAAAAAAAAAATATATATATATATATATATATACACACTTTTTAAAAAGCTTATTTATTTATTTATTTATTTATTTTTTTTTTTTTTTGAGACAGAGTCTCGCTCTGTCGCCCAGGCTGGAGTGCAGTGGCCAGATCTCAGCTCACTGCAAGCTCTGCCTCCTGGGTTCACGCCATTCTCCTGCCTCAGCCTCCCGAGTAGCTGGGACTACAGGCGCCTGCCATCTCGCCCGGCTAGTTTTTTGTATTTTTTAGTAGAGACGGGGTTTCACCGTGTTCGCCAGGATGGTCTTGATCTCCTGACCTCGTGATCCACCCGTCTCGGCCTCCCAAAGTGCTGGGATTACAGGCTTGAGCCACCGCGCCTGGCCAAAGCTTATTTATTTTTTGGGACAGAGTTTTCACTCTTGTTGCCCAGGTTGGAGTGCAATGGTGAGATCTCGGCTTACTGCAACCTCTGCCTCCCGGGTTCAAGTGATTCTCCTGCCTCAGTCTCCCGAGTAGCTGGGACTACTCCACCACACTTGGCTAATTTTTTGTATTTTTAGTAGAGATGGGGGGTTTCACCATGTTAGTCAGGTTGGTCTCAGACTCCCAACCAGGTGATCCGCCCGTCTTGGCCTCCCAAAGTGCTGGGATTATAGGCGTGAGCTACCACGCCCGGCCTATTTGTTTTGTGTGTTTTTTTTTTTAAGTAGTTAGCTTTTAATGAACTTCCCTCCATGTGGCCTCAAGCCACCAGGACACAGGCTCCCTCAACACCCTTAATCTTCTCCTCAGCTCTTCTGCTGAAGAATTTGGCCTCCACGATGACAGGCTGCTGTGGGGGCTTTCCCTTTCCCAGAACTTTGTAGTAGTCCAATCACACCACATCAATGATGGGAGCAGCCCCAGACTTGTTTTTAGCAGCATTCACCTGTGTCTGTTCACTGACCAAAGTCCACAATTTGTCAAGGCTGCAAGTTGGGCCGAAACTCTGGTTCCTCTTTAAGTGGTAATGCCTCATACCAACTTTCTAAAAGTAACCTGGGTGGTATTTGTTGAAGCTGATCCTGTGGTGATGCATTCCACCAGCATTATCGTGGCCTCCGGGGTGCTTCTGGAGCTTGCCTATGCAGCTGTGGCCATGGCTCATATGGCTCCAAAGTTTCTGGGTCTTCCTCAGTCTGGATGGCATGTTGGTGGCTCAGACGAAAGACCCAAAATACATTTTTTAAAATTAGCTGGGAACGGTGGCATACACCTGTAGTCCCAGTTACTCGGGAAGCTGAAGCAGGAGGATCGCTCGAGTCCAGGAGGTTGAGGTTACAGTGAGCTATGATCACACCAATGTACTTCGAGACAGAGCAAGACCCTGTCTCGAAAAAATCAAAAACAAGGTTGGGAGCAGTGACTCATGCCTGTGATCCCAGCGCTTTGGGAGGCCGAGGCAGGTAGATCACTTGAGGTCAGGAGTTTGAGACCAGCCTGGTCAACATAGTGAAACCTTGTCTGTACTAAAAATACAAAAAATTAGCCAGGCATGGTGGCATGTGCCTGTAATCCCAGCTACTGGGGAGGCTGAGGCAGAAGAATCACTTGAACCTGGGAGGCGGAGGGTGCAGTAAGCAGAGGATCACGTCACTGCACTCCAGCCTGGGAGACAGAATGAGACCCTGTCTCAAAAAAACAAAACAAAACAAAAAAACAAATCAAAATAAAAATAAAAACAAATATAACAAAATGGCAGTGAGGGCACACCTTCACTCCCATTTTATTATATTCACAGATTCTGGGAGTCAGGAATTCAGAAAGAACGCAGCATGGATGGCTTGTCTCTGCTCTATGACATCTGGGGCCCCAGTTGGGATGGCAAAAGGCTGAGGTGCTTGATGGCTGGGGCCAGGAGTCATCTGGAGGTATCATCATTCATGTTTGGCAAGCGATCTATACCAAGATGCTGATATAGACTGAGATCTCTGGCTGTTGGTCAGAACACCTATCCACGGCCTATCCACATGGCCTTGGACTTCTTAAATGGAGTCTTGTGCTCTAAAGGTGAATGTCCCAAGAGAATCAGGCAGAAGTTGTGTAGCCTTTTATGAATTAGCCTCAGAGGTTGCCAGCATCACTTCTGCCACGGTGCCAGATTCAAAGATTCAGAGGAGGGAACAGAGACCCCATCTCTCAATGGGAGGAGCATCAACCCCACAGGATAAGAGAGTATTTGGGTCGGGAGACAATCGTTGAATACATTTTGGGGATGTATTCGGAACACACTGCCACAGCACTCCCCAGGCCTGTCCTCTAGCTGCTTATCTCCCAGCTCTGAGCTAGAGCCCCCAAATTCTGCCCCTGGAGTGGCCTCCCCCTTGCGCAGTACTCTGCCCTGGCTGGCAACTCTGAATAAGCCATGTACTAGGGTTTGAGTATGGGAAAGAATAGAAGCCTATGAACAGAGCTTTACCAAGAAGAAATCATTTGAAATTCAGGATTTTTTTTTTTTTGAGACAGAGTCTTGCTCTGTCACCCAGGCTGGAGTGCACTGGCGCGATCTTGGCTCACTGCAACTTCTGCCTCCCGGGTTCAGGCCATTCTCCTGCCTCAGCCTCCCGAGTAGCTGGGACTATAGGTGCCTGCCACCAAGCCCGGCTAATTTTTTGTATTTTTAGTAGAGACAGGTTTCACCACGTTGGCCAGGCTGGTCTCGAACTCCCGTGCTCAAGTGATCCGCCCTCCTTGGCCTCCCAAAGTGCTGGGATTACAGGCATAAGCCACTGCACCTGGCAACCCCACCCTTTTTTTTTCTTATTTGAGACAGAGTCTCACTGTCACCCAGGCTGGAGTGTAATGGCGCGATCTCGGCTCACTGCAACCTCTGCCTTCCAGATTCAAGTGATTCTCCTGTCTCAGCCTCCCAAGTAGCTGGGACTACAGGCTCGTGCCACCACACCTGGCTAATTTTTGTATTTTTAGTAGAGATGGGGTTTCACCGTGTCGGCCAGGATGGTCTCGATCTCCTGCCCTCGTGATCCGCCCACCTCGGCCTCCCAAAGTGCTGGGATTACAGGTGTGAGTCACCGTGCCCAGCCAGTGTTGCATCCTTTCAACCGGTCCAGAAAGCTGTACAGTATTTACAACAAGCTTGAGAGTTATTTATGTCTTTGATAAAAGACTCAAATCCAGAACTGGGGATGAAAAAAAATGCAATGAAAGACTGTTTCATAGGGTATAAAAAGACAGATGCAACCATACATTTAATTTTTAAAAATGGAATGTATCTTACATAAGGATTTTGTGAAAAATCTTATACCTATCTGGGTATTACAGAAGATGCATATACCTTTCATAGCTCATGGAGGAAAGAGTATATAAACAATTTTGATAAGGAGTTGAGGAACAATTTGAAAATAGTTTATAAAGAGAGAATCAGGAGGCAGAAAAATCTTCAAGAGGCATGGTCTTCAGAAATTGTTCTGGAATGCTGTTTCACTTGTATCGATGTCATGTTCCTGGATGAGAGAATAAGATAGAATTTTAGTATTTCAGTATAAAGCCTAAAATGTAAACTCTTCCGTGCTTTGGAATTTAGAGATTCTGAATCTTCATTAATTAGGATATATACATAATATCTGGCTTTAGGGCTGAATCCAACCCAAGGATCAAATTTTGATCCTTTTGCCCTACCAGGGCAGGGCTTGTGACCACTGCCCACCACCCACCATGATGAGTAACAAACAGAGTTGAAAGCACTGGTGCAAAGACCACACCAGACTTCTTACATTGGCCTTGGTGCCTGTTCTAGCATGCCACCAGAGTGAGTACTGCTGGGAACCTACCTGACCTCCCATCCCATCATTCACTGCTGAGCAGCCACATCAAAACCCTCATCTCTGGATTCCCTTCGTGGATGGCACCTATACCACAGTAACTGCCCATACACTCCTGTCTCCCACTACACAGAGCTCTGAGAGGGACAGCAAGGACTGCACTCATCTTGTTCACTGCTATAGCCCCAGCCTCCAGCACCATGCTAGAGGTGGAGAGTGAAACATTATCAGATGAGCATCTGTCAGAGCCAGCTTCCTTCCAGGAGAGGCTCAAAAACTAATTGGTCTTCCCGCTCAGCATCTAAAATCCTAAGCTTGAATTTTGCCTGCTTACATTAAAAAACAAAACACTCTTTTTTTGCTGCAAAAGTGACATAGTCACTATAGAGATTATAATAAAGAAGGAAAATAAAAATTAAAAATTAAACACTGTCTTTTTTTTTTTTTTTAAGACAGGGTCTCAATCTATCACCCAGGGTGGAATGCAGTGGCATGATCACGGCTCCCTGCAACCTCAACCTCCCCAGGCTCAGGTGATCTTCCCACCTCAGCCTCCCAAGTAGCTGAGACTACAGGTGCAGACCACCACACCTGGCTAATTTTTTGTATTTTTTTATAGAGATGGAGTTTCTGTTGCCCAGGCTGGTCGAGAACTCCTGGGCTCAAATGATTCACCTGCCTCAGCCCCCTAAAGTGCTGGGATTGCAAGGGTGAGCCACTGTGCCAGTCCAAGGATAAATTTTTTTTTGAGACGGAGTCTTGCTGTGTTGCCCAGGCTGGAGTGCAGTGGCACGATCTCAGCTCACTGCAAGCTCCGCCTCCTGAGTTCACACCATTCTCCTGCCTCAGCCTCCCGAGTAGCTGGGACACAGGCACCCGCCACCACGCCCAGCTAAAGTTTTGTATTTTTAGTAGAGACGGGGTTTCGCCGTGTTAGCCAGGATGGTCTCGATCTCCTGACCTCGTGATCTGCCCGCCTCGGCCTCCCAAAGTGCTGGGATTACAGGCGTAAGCCACCGTGCCCGGCCCCAAGGATAAATATCTTTATGTTCTTTTTTTATTATGCAAAATAATTCCATGTATTGTGTGTATTCTGTAAAGAAAGTAGAATCTCTCTCTGTACTGTTCTTTAGTCTCTCCCTGCCCCATATTTACTGTATTATGAATGTATTCCTAAGTCCTTAAACTTTTTTTTTTTTTTTTTTTGAGACGGAGTCTCGCTCTGTCGCCCAGGCTGGAGTGCAGTGGCCAGATCTCAGCTCACTGCAAGCTCCGCCTCCCGGGTTCCGCCATTCTCCTGCCTCAGGCTCCCGAGTAGCTGGGACCACAGGCGCCGCCACCTCGCCCCCGGCTGGTTTTTTGTATTTTTTTTTTTAGTAGAGACGGGGTTTCACCGTGTTAGCCAGGATGGTCTCAATCTCCTGACCTCGTGATCCGCCCGTCTCAGCCTCCCAAAGTGCTGGGATTACAGGCTTGAGCCACCGCGCCCGGCTCTTTTTTTTTTTTTTTTTTTTTTTTTAGTCTTACTCGTTGCCCAGGTTGGAGTGCAGTGGTGCAATCTTGGCTCACTGCACCCTCCGCCTCCCAGGTTCAAGCGATTCTCTTGCCTCAGCCTCCTGAGTAACTAGGACTACAGGCACGGGCCACCACACCCAGTTAATATTTTATTTTTAGAAGAGATGGGGTTTCACCGTGTTGGCCAGGCTGGTCTAGAATTCCTGACCTCAAGTGATCCATCCACCTACCTTGGCCTCCCAAAGTGTTGAGATTACAGGCATGAGCCACAGCACCTGGCCCAAGTCCTTAAACGTTTTTATTTTTTATTTATTTTTTTGAGATGGAGTCTTGCTCTGTCTCCCAGGCTGGAGTGCAATGGCATGTTCTCGGCTCACTGCCAACCTCTGCCTCCCGGGTTCTAGCAATTCTCCTGCCTCAGCCTCCTGAGTAGCAGGGATTACAGGCGCCCGCCACCACGCCTGGCTAATTTTTGTATTTTTAGTAGAGATGAGGGTTCACCATGTTGGTCAGGCTGATCCTCAACTCCTGACCTAGTGATCCACCCGCCTCGGCCTCCCAAAGTGCTGGGATTACAGGGGTCAGCCATCATGCCCAGCCAAACATTTTTAAAAACATTTTTAATCTTATGGATGTACCCTTAACCAGTTCCCTATTGACGAAGATTTTTCTTCTATAAAATAATGCTGCACTGAGAATCCTGGTTGATAAATCTGCACATATTCAGAATTATATTATTAAAACAAATTCTGAAGATTAGAATAGGTCAAAGGTATATACATTTTAGGGCTTTTCAACAGTATTATGAAAATATCTCCAGACAAGTGGAACCAACTTATTCTCCCATCAGTAGGGTATGAATGCCTATTTACCAACACTGGTTGGGCATTGAATTTTTGAAATCCTGTCAAGGAATGGAAAAAAAAAGGCCAGAGATAATTTTAAAGTTATTGGTCCTCGGTCAGAGAAAGATCATTTCTTTCTTTCCTTTTTTTTTTTTTTCCTGAGACGGAGTCTTGCTCTGTCACTAGGCTGGACGGAGTGCAGTGGTGCAGTCTTGGCTCACTGCAACCTCCACCTCCCGGGTGCAAGCAATTCTCCTGTCTCAGCCTCCCGAGTAGCTGGGACTACAGGCATGCACCACCATGCCCAACTAATTTTTGTATTTTTAGTAGAGATGGGGTTTCACCATGTTGGCCAGGATGGTCTCGATCTCTTGACTTTGTGATCCGCCTGCCTTGGCCTTCCAAAGTGCTAGGATTACAGGTGGGAGCCACGGTGCCCGGCCTGAGAAAGATGATTTCTAACCTCATGTTCCACTGCTCTATCCTTTCCTCTGTTCTCTTGTCACACTGGCATCACTGCCGTTCATCAAACATACCAGGCACAGCCCAGCCTTAGGAACTTTGCACAGCTCTCCCCTCCGCCTGGGACACTCCTCCCCCAGAAATCTGCATGGCTAAGTCCCTTAACACCTTCAAGTCTTTGCTCCAATACAACTTTGCAATGAGGCCCACCCTGATTGCCCTATTTAATACTCACCAGTCATCATGGCCACACTCAGCACACTTGATCCCTCTTACCCAGTTCTATCATTATTATTATTTTCTGAGACAGAGTCTCACTCTCTTGCCCAGGCTGGAATGCAGTGGTACCATCTTGGCTCACTGCAACCTCTCCACCTCCTGGGTTCAAGAGATTCTCCTGCTTCGGCCTCCCTAGTAGCTAGGATTACAGGCATGTACCATCACACCTGGCTAATTTTTATATTTTTAGTAGAGATGGGGTTTCACCATGTTGGCCAGGCTGGTCTTGAACTCCTGACCTCAGGTGAACCACCTGCCTCGGCCTCCCAAAGTGCTGGGATTACAGGTGTGAGCCACCACACCCAGCTGTTTTTTTGTTTTTGTTTTTTTTCCTGAGACAGAGTCTCACTCTGTTGCCCAGGCTGGAGTGCAATGGTGCGATCTCAGCTCACTGCAACCTCCACCTTCCGGGTTCAAGTGATTCACCTGCCTCAGCCTCCCGAGTGTCTGGGATTACAGGCATGCACCATGACACCCAGCTAATTTTTGTATTTTTAGTGGAGAGGGGGTTTCACTATGTTGGCCAGGCTGGTCTCGAACTCCTGACCTCAGGTGATCCGCCCACCTCGGCCTCCCAAAGTGTTGGGATTACAGGTGTGAGCCACTGTGCCTGGCCTCTACTTCTAAACCAAAGCACTTACCATTTTCTAGCATCCTATGTGACTCACTTATGTTTATTGTTTATTGTCTATATCTTCCAGCTAGTACATAGGTTCCATAAGTACAGGGATTATTGTCTATTTTGTTCACGTAGTAGATGCTCAATAAATACTTGCAGGCTAAATCAACATCATAAAACATGACAAGCACAGTTCATGGATGATACCAGTACTGGAGGGGCTCCCACTACACTATGCCTTGTAGGCTCTGTACCTGGTTCAATTTCTTGAACTCCACCACTTGGAAGAAGACGTGCTCAAGGATATGTTTGGCATCCTGTTGGTCCTTTGGTAGTTTACTGGTTACTCCAAGAATGTCACCACACTTCCTGACATAGAATTCCAGGTCTTCTTCAGTACCTAAGACAGTTGTAGTAGTAGTTAGATTAATTCTTAACTTCTGTCCTTCCCAAAGTACAGATTTAGTGTGTTTCAGGTATGCCCTATCGTGTTTCCATATTTCCTAAGATCACTCACCTCTTCCTAAAGTAATGTGACTGCAGGATTTCAACACTGAAAAACTCTAGCGCTCTCTAATGTGCTGCTTTTATAAATTAGGACAGAAGTGTGACACTCCTAATCAGAATAAAACTGGACTGGTACTGGCTTTCCTATTTCTCAGATCTAGTATTCCTACATTAGAAAGAACAGGTGCAAGAGTAGGAAATCAAATTATCATTCCCTGAATGCAACAAAGATCACTATGAGAAAAGCATATGGGTAATTAAAAATAGCATTTACTAAAACAATACTGTATTGGTCGGGCGTGGTGGCTCACGCTTGTAATCCCAGCACTTTGGAAGGCTGAAGCAGGCAGATCACTTAAGGTCAGGTGTTCAAGACCAGTCTGGCCAACACAGCAAACCCCCATCTCTACTAAAAATACAAAAATTAACCGGATGTGGTGATGCAGGCCTGTAATCCCAGCTACTTGGGAGACTGACGCAGGAGAGTAGCCTGAATTGGAGAGGTAGAGGTTGCAGTGAACCGAGATTGCGCCACTGCACTCCAGCCTGGGCGACAGAGCAAGACTCCATCTCAAACAGAACAAAACAAAATAGCCGGACGTGGAGGTTCACGCCTGTAATCCTAGCACTTTGGGAGGCCAAGGTAGGCGGATCACAAGGTCAGGAGTTTGAGATCAGCCTGGCCAGCATGGTGAAACCCTGTCTCTACTAAAAATACAAAAAAATTACCCGGGCATGGTGGGGTGCACCTGTAATCCCTACTCGGGAGGCTGAGGCAGGAGAATTGCTTGACCCTGGGAGGCGGAGGTTGCAGTGAGCCAAGATCGCACCACTGCACTCCAGCCTGGGCAACAGAGCAAGACTCCATCTCAAAAACAAAACAAGGCTGAGCGCGGTGGCTCATGCCTATAATCCCAGCACTTTGGGAGGCCAAGGCAGGTGGATCATCTGAGGTCGGGAGTTCGAGACCAGCCTGACCACCATGGAGAAACTCTGTCTCTACTAAAAATACAAAATTAGCCGGGTGTGGTGGTGCATGCCTGTAATCCCAGCTACTCAGGAAGGCTGAGGCAGGAGAATCGCTTGAACCTGGGAGGCAGAGGTTGCGGTGAGCTGAGGTTGTGGTGAGTCGAGATTGCGCCACTGCACTCCAGCCTGGGCAACAAGAGCAAAACTCGGTCTCAAAACAAAACCCCAAAAAACAAACAATATTATAGAAAGAAAATTAAAGAAGAAAAAAATCACCCATAATTCCACCAACAACATAGCTCTGTGAAGCCATCCTCTGGAGCCCTACGTGTAGGATGGACAGCCATTACTGCCCTTCTCACATTATACTGTAATTTCCTTCTTTTTTTTTTTCTTTTTGAGATAGAGTCTCACTCTGTTGCCAGGCTGGGGTGCAGTGGTGCGATCTCAGCTCACTGCAACCTCTGCCTCCCAAGTTCAAGCAATTCTCCTGCCTCAAGCTCCCGAGTAGCTGGGTCTACAGTCATGTTCCCCCATGCCTGGCTAAATTTTGTATTTTCAGTAGAGACGGGGTTTCAACATGTTGGCCAAGATGGTCTCGATCTCTTGACCTTGTGATCCGCCTGCCTTGGCCTCCCAATGTGCTGGGATTACAGGAGTGAGCCACCATGCCTGGCCTATTATACTGTAATTTCTTTCTTTCTTTTTCTTTTTTTTTTTTTGAGACAAGGTTTGGTTCTATCACCCAGGCTGGAGTGCAGTGGCATGATTTCAGCTCACTGCAACTTCCGCCTCCTGGGCTCAAACGATCCTCTCACCTCAGCCTCCCAAGTAGCTTGGACTACAGGTGTGCCCCACCACGCCTGGCTGATTTTTTGTATTTGAGACGGGGTTTCACCATGTCACCCAAGCTGGTCTCGAACTTGTGAGCTCCAGTAATCCGCCTGCTTTGGCCTCCCAAAGTGCTGGGCTTACAGGCGTGAGCCACTGCGCCCGGCTGTAATTTCTTTATTCTCCCTCTGATTTGCATTTTAAGTTATGATAGAAACGTATGTTTTTTACTAAGACATTCAAACCCACAGCTGTAACAATCTTTCATCCTAGTTCTATTGCCACCAACTACCCAGAATTATTATTGTTATGTCTGCTTCTGTGTGTAAATATAAGTTTTCACAAAAATGGGATCACATTTAATGATGTATTATGGACATTCCATGTCAAAGTTTATGCCCTACATTTTTTTTCTTTTCTTTTTTTTTTTTTTGAGACAGAGTCCCACTCTGTCACCCAGGCTGGAGTGCAGTGGCATGATCTTGGCTTACTGCAACCTCTGCCTCCCGGGTTCAAGCGCTTCTCCTGCCTCAGCCTCCCAAGTAGCTTGGATTACAGGCACTCGCCATCACGCCCAGCTAATTTTATTATTTTTATTTTTAGTACAGACAGGGTTTCACCATCTTGACCAGGCTGGTCTTGAACTCCTGACTTTGTGATCCACCCGCCTTGGCCTCCCAAAGTGCTAGGATTATAGGGGTAAGCCACTGCACCTGGCCTTTTCTTTTATTTTTTGAGACAGGGTCTTGCTCTGTCAACCAGGTTGGAATGCAGTGGCACAATCTTAGCTCACTGCAGCCTTGACTTCCTAGGTTCAAGCAATCCTCCCACCTGGGCCTCCTGAGTAGCTGGTACTACATGAGTGAGCCACCATGCCTGGCTAATTTTATTTTTCTACAGAGAAGAGGACTCACTGTGTTGCCCAGGCCAGTCTCAAGTGATCCTCTTGCCTCAGCCTTCTAAAGTGCTGGGATTACAGGTGTGAGCCATTGTGCCCAGGCTACATTTTTCTTTTAACAGATATGTAATATTCTATTTTGTTTCTATTTATTTATTTTTCAGAAACAGGGTCCCTCTGTCACCCAGGCTGGAGTGCAACAGTGTATCATAGCTCACTGCAGCCTCCAACGCTTGGGCCCAACTGATCCTCCCACCTCAGACTTCCAAGTAGCTAGGACTATAGAAGTGTGCCACCACACCTGGCTACTTAAATTTTTTTTTTTTTTATATATGGAGTTTCGCTCTTGTTGCCCAGGCTGGAGTGCAATAGCATAATCTCGGCTCACTGCAACTTCCACCTCCTGGGTTCAAGAGATTCTCCTGCCTCAGCCTCCCAAGTAGCTGGGATTACAGGCATACGCCACCACGCCCAGCTAATTCTGTATTTTTAGTAGAGATGGGGTTTTTCCATGTTGGTCAGGCTGGTCTTGAACTCCCAACCTCAGGTGATCCACCCACCTTGGCCTCCCAAAGTGCTGGGATTACAGGCATGAACCACCGCACCCAGCCCTTTTTTTTGTTTGTTTTTTGAGACAAAGTCTCATTATGTTGTCCAAGCTGGTCTTGAAATCCTGGCCTCAACTGATCCTCCTGCCTTGGCTTTTCAAAGTGCTGCAATTACAGGCATGATCCACTTTGCCCAGGCAATTTTTTTTTCTGGTAGAGATGCGATCTATGTGACCCAGGCTTATTTCATACACTTTTAAACCAATCCCCCTACTAATGTATGGACCATTAGACTGTTACCAATTTTTTGAATGCTATAATTAATATCTATATAGCTATATATATTTTGTTTTGCATTTCCACAAGGATTTCCATAGGACAGCTGCTAGAAACAGAAATGCCAAGTCAAAGCTTCTGCTTCTTCACTGTTCTGTGATTCCTCCTGGACTAATCACTATGTCCTGCTCATTTTTGATTGTCCAGGACCTACAGCAATGCCTGGCACAGAATAGAGATGCAGTAAAGGTCTTTGTTTACACTGAACTATTTCCATTTTGCTTACTTCTTTCTGGGCTTTGGGCACAAACAGATGTTGCTGACATAGCTGGTATCCTCTTGTACATGCAGTTTTGTATCTTGCTTCCTTCATTCAGGCTTCTCTCTTAAATTTTGTCTGTGTCATGAGTCATTCCCTAGCCTTTGTGAACCTCTTTTATAATGACTACATATTCTCCTACCAAATGATTGTGATGCAGTTTACGACCATTCCTCTGCTAATGGACATTAAAGTTATTCCCAAATTTATAGTTTTTTCTATTTTAAAAAATTGTTATTTTTTAAAATATATTTTTAGAGACAGGGTCTTGCTGTGTTGCCCAGGCTGGTCTTAAATTCCTACGTTCAAGCGATCCTCCTACCTCAGCCTCTTGAGTTTATCATATTTTTAAAATAAATAGTGTAGAAGTTGGCTGGACGCGGTGGCTCATGCCTGTAATCCCAGCACTTTGTGAGGCTGAGGCCGGTGGATCACCTGAGGTCTGGAGTTTTAGACCAGCGTGGCCAACATGGTGAAACCCCATCTCTACTAAAAACACAAAAATTAGCCATGTGTAGTGGTGGGTGCCTATAATCCCAGCTACTTGGGAGGCTGAGACAGGAGAATCACTTGAACCCAGGAGGCAGAGGTTACAGTGAGCCGAGATTGCACCATTGCACCCAAGGCTGGGCGACAAGAGTGAAACTTTGTCTCAAAAAATATATATATAATTTCCTTAGATTAGACTTCCAGGAGTCGGGCCACTGCCTCAAAGTGGATGGTTAATTTTATGCCTCTGAGCATATATATGCAGAGCCATTTGCTGTGTTGGAGGCAATTCATGTCGGGAGCAGCCCCAGACCAAAAGTCAGGAGGACCACTCATCGTAGAGCTGTGTGGCCTGGGGCCTTATTTCTTCATCCACATGTCAAGGTGGGCACATTTGGCTCTCTCTCAGATCCTGTCCAGTTTGAAGTCTCTATGATTCTTTGGGCCCTGACTCAATTTCCTTATTTAGCTGCTCCTATGACCACCGACTGAGATTTGCTAAGTGGCAGCCAGGGTCAAGATTAATTCTATGGTCTCTCAATAGGTCAGAACTAAGGACTCACAGGGATCAAAGCTGAGACCTTTGGCTTTCTGCTTGGCACTATGTTCTTATTCACTGAACTAAATAGCCTTGAGAAGAACAACCAACATCATTTATATGACATAAATAAGAATGGTAAGTTTATACTCCTATTCATATTTTGTTTTCCCTAAACAAACTCTAAGCTTTCTCTCATAGTAATCCTCAGAAATTCATGACTAAATAAAACTCATAAGAGAAAACAAAGTTTAAAAGTTGGCCAAACTTAGGCCAGGCGTGGTGGCTCACACCTGTAATCCCAGCACTTTGGGAGGCTGAGGTGGGCGGATCACCTGAGGTCAGGAGTTCAAGACCAGCCTGACCAATATGATGAAACCCCATGTCTACTAAAAATACAAAAATTAGCCGGGCATGGTGGCACACACCTGTAATCCCAGCTACTCGGGAGGCTGAGACAGGAGAATCACTTGAACCTGGGAGGCAGAGGTTGCAGTGAATCAAGATCGCACCATTGCACTCCAGCCTGGGCAACAAGAGTGAAACTCCATCTCAAAAAAAAAGTTGGCCAAACTTACACTTATTGGTAATCTGAGCCAGCCGTGCCTTCTCAGAGGAGAATGTTTCATCTAAATCAAATAGCTCCAGAGGTGGAGGTGGTAACTCCCGGAAACTGGGAGGAAAAACCTAAAAGGAAATAAAGTCATCATTTAGAAATGCGGGAGGATAATGTAAAGGAAATAAAGTCTCTCAAGAAAGAGCTTGTCCAAAGTCATAACTAACAGTGACGAGACACAAGGAGAATAAGGAAGTCCACATCCTTAATTCCTCAGTTGGGAACCACACCACATGGAAATCCCTACAGAACAGTAACTCAGCTCTTCCCCGAAGATGAAATACCCAAACTCCCATCACCTCGTCTACCCTCACCCATGAGACCCATATCAAGAAAGATTACTAGCCCACTGTAAACAACCAAGTGGAACCAGCTCTAATTACCACTAAACTGACCAAGTTGACATACCAACACTAATTAACTCAGAACAATGACACAAAGCTTGGGACTTAGGTTTGTGTTGAACATTTGATTGTACAACTTTTTTCTCATTTAATCATAAGTTTTTAGGGATGGAAGTTATTTGGAGAACCAGATGCAGATTAGTGTAGAAAGTATTGAACTTGGAGTCAGATTTTGCAGGTATGAACCAATGGTATGTGGGTAAATGTTTAACTACTTTCAAAACAAAACAAAACTGAAAGCCTCTTTTGTAGCATTTACCATTTTCTGTAATGTAAATCCTCTCACCATGGCCAATTTCAAGCTACCAAGCAAGATCAAGCCAACTGGCTCATAACATTTCAGAATGTGGTGAGACAAGGTAATTTTAAAGGCAAGTTGAGTGAATGTTGGACTGGAATGTTGAAAAATAACCTATTTACACACATAACCATAACTATCCCCTGGGCTGTGAGAATTATGCTATGAATCAGGCCCTGACACCTGGAATGGCAGTACAGTGTTCTTCCTTTTTATCCAAGAAATCTCATATATGCCCTCCAACCCCACAAGATGGGAATGGGAAATGTTTAATAGCCAGAAGGCTCCACATTCTTGATTCCTCAATTTGGAAGCATACCACACGGAAGTCTCTATAGAACATTAACAAATTAGGTGTCCATGCATGTTTAGAGACAGAGCATTATGACTCCACAAGGAGTGCCACAAATGGCACATGGAAGGGACCACGGTGAAGGCCTGCTGACAAGATAAGGGCAACAGTGGGGCTCTGCAGTGGGATCCCCCAAGCACACCTACTCACCGCAGGCTGAAGGGTTGGCAGAGGCGTCTCAAACTGAGGCTGGATGAGCTGGAGCGGTTCATGCTTCACATTTAGCTGCTTGTGAGCCCTGTGTTCATAATCAAACAAAAAAGCAGGGATCAAGATAAGACACCATAACACAGCATGTCTAACTGACCACACTGTGCTGTTCTCCATGAAATACAGTGGTTCAGTACTATTTTTAGAAATACCAACGGACCCAGCAATCCCATTACTGGGTATATACCCAAAGGAATATAAATCATTCTATTATAAAGACACATGCATGCATATGTTCACTGCAGCACTAGTCACAATAGCAAAGACATGGAATCAACCCAAATGTTCAACAATGATAGACTGGATAAAGAAAATGTGGTATATATACACCATGGAATACTATGCAGCCATAAAAAAGAATGAGAGAGGCTGGGCGCAGTTGCTCACACCTATAATCCTAGCACTTTGGGAGGCCGAGGTAGGTGGATCACCTGAGGTCAAGAGTTTGAAACCAGCCTGGCCAACATGGTGAAATCTTGTCCCTACTAAAATTATAAAAATTAGCTGGGTGTGGTGGCTGGCGCCTGTAATCCCAGCTACTTAGGAGGTTGAGGAGAAGAACTGCTTGAACCAAGGAGGTGGAGGCTGCAGTGAGCAGAGATCATGCCATTGTACTCCAGCCTGGGCAAGAGAGCAAAAACTCTGTCTCAAAAAAAAAAAAAAAAAAAGCCAGGCGCAGTAGTTCACGCCTGTAATCCCAGCACTTTGGGAAGCCAAGGTGGACGGATCACAAGGTCAGGAGATCAAGACCATCCTGGTTAACACAGTGAAACTCTGTCTCTACAAAAAACAGAAAAAATTAGCTGGGCGTGGTGGTGGGTGCCTGTATTCCCACTTACTTGGGAGACTGAGGCAGGAGAATGGTGTGAACCCAGGAGGCGGAGGTTGCAGTGAGCCGAGATGGCGCCACTACACTTCAGCCTGGGTGACAGAGCAAGACTCCATCTCAAAAAAAAAAAAAAAGAATGAGATCATGTCCTTTGTCAGGCACATTGATGGCGCTAGAGGCCATTATCCTTAGCAAACAAACACAGGAACAGAAAACCAAATACACATGTCCTTTTTTCTTTTTTTTTTGAGACAGAGTCTTGCTCTGTCACCCAGTCTGGAGCGCAGTGGCATGATCTCGGCTCACTGCAACCTCCGCCTGCCAGGTTCAAGCAATTCTCCTGCCTCAGCCTCCCAAGCAGCTGGGATTACAGACACGCGCCACCATACCCAGCTAATTTTTATATCTTTAGTAGAAATGGGTTTCACCATGTTGTTCAGGCTGGTCTTGAACTCCTGACCTCGTGATCCACCCGCCTCGGTCTCCCAAAGTGCTGAGATTACAGGTGTGAGCCACCGTGCCCAGCCTACCATATGTCCTTATAAGTGGGAGCTAAATGATGAGAGCACACAGACATATAGGGGAGAATACTCACTGGGGCTTATGGAAGGTTGGAGGATGGGAGGAGGGAGAGGATCGGGAAAAATAACTAATGGATATTAGGCTTAACACATGGGTGATGAAATAATCTGTACAGCAAACCCCCATGACACAAGTTTACCTAGCTAACAAATCTGTACTTGTACCCCTGAATTTAAAAGTTAAAAACAAAAACCTCATAAAATAATATCAATGTTACTTAATCAACTCTCTAAATAGAATATGCATTCTAACTTACATAGATTACATAGTTAAATCCTTTTTCATTTTAGATCAGAATATGTTAACGTATTTCAGTGAGATTTCAATGAAATATTTTAATGGAATTTAATTTCATGGCAGTTAGTCTAGTTTCTGTCTTTTTCAGATACTCATGTAGATATGTAGTGTTTCACTTTCTTTGGTGACTGGTAGAAATTCTGACTTTTTTCTTTGATTTAGTGTAAAGATTCGAGATTTCCCCTTCCAAAATAATAATAATACCTATATTAATTCCAACTTTGAAATTTGAATTTATTCTTCCCATCTCACTCATATGCATCAATATGTTTAAAGTATTATGTGCTTTATCTTTTTTCTTCTTCTATTTTTAAATTTTTTCATTTATGCACAAAAACCACCATCTAAACACTTACTTTTGAAATAAATTTTGACTCTGTCACCCAGGCTGGAGTGCAGTGGTACAAATCATAGCTCATTTTAATCTTGAACTCCTGGACTCTAGCAATCATCCCACCTCAGCCTCCTGAGTAGCCAGGACTACAAGCAGGTACTGGAGCGATGTGCACCACCATGCCTTGCTAATTTAAAACAAAATTTTTAGTAGGGATAAGGTCTCACTATGTTGCCCAGGCTGATCTCGAACTCCTGGCTTCAACAGATGCTACTGTTTCAGCTTCCCAAAGTGATGGGATTACATGTGTGAGCCAGCCTTTTCTTCTTTTTTTTTTTTTTTTTTTGAGACGGAGTCTCGCTGTGTTGCCCAGGCTGGAGGTACAGTGGCGTGATCTCGTCTCACGGCAAGCTCCGCCTCCGGGTTCACGCCATTCTCCTGCCTCAGCCTCCAAGTAGCTGGGACTACAGGCGCCACCACCACGGCCCAGCTAGTTTTTTTTTTTTTTGTTTTTTAGTAGAGACGGAGTTTCACCATGTTAGCCAGGATGGTCTCGATCTCCTGACCTCGTGATCCACCGCCTGGCCTCCCAAAGTGCTGGGATTACAGGCTTGAGCCACCACGCCCGGCCGCAAGACTTTTCTTCTTAAATCAGTTTCTGGTATTGGGATTTTGCCAAAAGATGGAAATTGATTTCCTGGGAATAAGGGTCTCCATCACTCTTTACAGCTACTCAATCTTAAATTTTCTTTTGATTGGTGTTAACTGCTCACCTAAGGCAGCCAATTTCTTTTATTACTTATTTTTTTTTTTTTTTTTTTTTTTTTTTTTGAGACGGAGTCTCGCTCTGTGGCCAGGCTGGAGTGCAGTGGCCGGATCTCAGCTCACTGCAAGCTCCGCCTCCTGGGTTTACGCCATTCCTGCCTCAGCCTCCCAGTAGCTGGACTACAGGCGTCCCCACCTCCCGGCTAGTTTTTGTATTTTTTTTAGTAGAGACGGGTTCACCGTGTTAGCCAGGATGGTCTCGATCTCCTGACCTCGTGATCCGCCCGTCTCGGCCTCCCAAAGTGCTGGGATTACAGGCTTGAGCCACCGCGCCCGGCCTATTTACTTATTTTTTTTTTTAGACACAGTCTCACTCTGTCACCCAGGCTGGAGTGCAGTGGCGCGATCCGTCGCTCACTGCAACCTCTGCCTGCCAGGTTCAAGCAATTCTCCTGCCCAGCCTCCCAAGCAGCTGGACTACAAACGTATGCCACCACACCTAGCAAATTTTTGTATTTTTAGTAAAGATGGGGTTTCACCATGTTGGACAGGCTAGTCTTGAACTCCTGACCTTGAGACCACCTGCCTCAGCCTACCAAAGTGCTGGATTACAGGTGTGAGCCACCGTGTCCAGCCCCAAAATTTGTTTTAATCATAGTGGATTACAAATAAGCAGTTAATACATGATTTGAAAGATACGTAATTTTGACTTTTTTAAATTTGAGATAGAGTTTGCTCTTATGGCCCAGGCTGGAGTGCAATGGGCGATCTCCGCTCACCGCAACCTCTGCCTTCCGGGTTCAGCAATTCTCCTGCCTCAACCTCCCGAGTAGCTGGATTACAGGCATGTGCCACCATTGCCCGGCTAATTTTGTATTTTGTAGTGAGACGGGGGGTTTCTCTATGTTGGTCAGGCTGGTCTCGAACTCCCGACCTCAGTGATCTGCCCGCCTTGGCCTCCCAAGTGCTGGGATTGACAGGCGTGAGCCACCAAGCCTGCCAATTTTGACTTTTAAAAAGACAAAGCTAAGAATATAATAAAGTCCAAATAAAAAACAGACAAAAATGTGTTGTTATAAATAATATAATGATCCTTTCAGGAATCTTCTCTACATATCATATATTATTACTCATTGAGAACTGAAAAGAAACATTTCTTTCAATTTCATATCAGGTTCTCCTAAATACAACTTTTGTTTTGCCCGATGGACACAGTGAATCTTTAACCTCCTGTGGTTTTTTAAAAATTTCCTTTTCACCATTAAGACAAGGAGTCAAATATGAAGTCTGTTTGGCAAAACAGATCCATACGATATGCACTTCTGTGTGCTCACTCAACAGATAATTACGAATATCCCACTATGTACCAGGCAGTTCTAACAGGAGGAGTACACGCAACAGGTAAAGAAGATGCCAAGGCAGCCATCACGGAACTTACATTGTAGGGGAGGGAGGCACACATTACCAAAAAACTAGTAAGATGTCAGGAACTGGGCCATAGCGCAGGGGCACATGCCTTAATCCCAGCTACTCGGGAGGCTGAGGCAGAATTGCTTTAAACCGGGGAGGCGGAGGTTGCAGTGAACCCGAGATTCGCACCATTGCACTCCAGCCTGAGAAGCAGAGTACGAAAAAAAAAAAAAAAAAGATGTCAGGAACTGATAAGTATTAAGAAGACAAATAGGCCAGGCACAGTGGCTCACGCCTGTAATCCCAGCACTTTGGGATGCCGAGGCAGGTGGATCACCTGAGGTCGGGAGTTCAAGACCAGTCTGACCAACATGAGAAACCCCGTCTCTACTAAAACTACAAAATTAGCTGGGTGTCGTGGCGCATGCCTGTAATCCCAGTTACTCAGGAGGCTGAGGCAGGAGAATTGCTTGAACCCGGGAGGCGGAGGTTGTAGTGAGCCAAGATCACGCCATTGCACTCCAGCATGAGCAACAAGAGTGAAACTTCGTCTAAAACACACACACACAAATCAGAGGAGAAAGAGACAGGGAAGGGGCATGGAGTGTGGCTTGTCAGAGGAGCCTTGAGTGACGGTGGGGGGACGTCATGCAGTTATCTTCAAAAGTGTCCCTGGCAGAGGCAACAGCAAGAACAGGCAGAAGGGTGCCCGGCATTTTCACAGAACAGCAGGCCAGCCAGAGGGACTCCAGCAGAGGATCGGTGTTAGGAGCGAGCCTACAGAGCTGAGAGCTCATCTTACCCCTGTTAT